ACTTATATCAATAATATTTATCCTACAGTGCTACAAATCAAAAACACCTCAATATCAAATACTAAAGTACATTATTTAGATTTAGATATTAAGATAATTAATAATTATAGTTATATTAATATTTATGATAAAAGAAATGATTTTACATTTCAAATTTTTGGACTTCCCTTGCTAAATAGTAATGTACCAAATAATGCCATACAGAGCATCATACATTCATAGCTACTCAGATATTTTGTAACAATGAACAGTTTCTAATTTCCAACATTAATATATTATTGAATAAATTGATTTTTAATGGATTTAATAAAATAACTCTAATTAAATATTTTAAACTATTTTGTAATACGTATTCAAAATATGTATGTATATTTAAAAATAATAGTATAAATGAAATCATAATAAACATAATAATGAATAATTTCTAATTTTTGTTGGAGAAATTATTGGAATTACTTATTTGGACAGTATCTTGTATTGGTGTATTAATGTAGATGTATCACTTTCCCTATACAAGACCTGCTACTATGTAATTCTTGTAGAACCTTCAAATATCTTGACAGTAGCACGGATGGGAGCTATACTAACAATTTAAGTTGGGCTTGTATAGTAATACCTTAACATTGTGGTATTTATGTCCAAACATCATTATGGGGGCTGGAAAGCCAACTTCAAAGACAGTTTTACTGTCTTTCCCCATTGATGGTAAAGGTGATAAAGATGTGGGTCATTGTGGGCTAGAGCACCAACATCTGCTCTCTTCTCTCTTTTTTATTATTAAGAATGTGAGGTATGCAAAACTGAGGTTAAACTAGATAGATGGTGTAACCCCAAAGCAATTTGGGTCTTACTTCTGCCAGTAACTCAAAAACCAAGGTGCACTGCACAACTACCCACCTTATGGTGTGTGCCCAGGAGATATATGTCTGTTTTGTAGCTGCATTGTTTCTTTTTTCTTTCATGTTCTACATAATATTACAATTAATTAATTATATATAAAAAGAGAGAGATCAACTTTATAAATGTACAAATGTAGTGCAGTTCTACTATTGTCACTAAAACACAACATTAGTATACCTGTGTAGACAACTGTAGCCTCTGGTTTTCCCAATTTCAGCAACTTCTCCAGCCCCAAGAAATATACATAGTTAGCTGTGTTGACAGTGCTAGCAACACCAAAAATGTGGTGAGCTACTGGAATCCCTCGTCTTAGACAGGAATTATCTTCTATGTCATCAATTCTACAAAATAAAACTGAGTATAAAAACAGTTCATACCACAAATGAAACATATGAGTTTGGTATAAATTGTACAGTACTTTTTATCTGTAATTAAAGTAGAAAACTTCTTGCGAGTTTCGAAAAGACATTTGAAATAAAATATAATAGGCCTAAGTAGGTTTTAACAAAAAATTTATTGTATACACAGTATTTCTATAATCTTACATATAGTTATGTGTTTTTTTTTACAAGTTACACTTATCTGGATTATAGATATTCTTTCTTTAGAACATAGCATTATATAAAGGTGTTCGAAATGTTTTAGTACTATGACATATCTTTACTTCATAAATCTTAAAACATGAAAGATCAAGATGCACATGAACAAATAAAAAAAAACAATCACTTGAGCACTTTTGGAAGATCTACCTTCTTGTTATGACATTTATTTCTGTACACGTTATGCTAGCATTTTGGTAAGTATATCTCATTGCAAGTTGCCATTGAATTAATGCAGCATGACCCGTTACATTTCCACAGTCCAATCTTCTACTAGCTGCGTGTTTAAATGATTCTTTTAAATCTTCACACAACATAATATATATATATATATATTACATGATTTTCTCATATAAACATTAAAATGAGTAACTTACAACAAGCTAGCATTATGCAACATTTGAACAACCTCGCCTATTACTTGACACATTTCAGGTGTAACATTCAGCCAGTGATTGAAAGCCTGAAAGAAAAAAAAAAGAAACTTTAAGAAGTACATGAAATGATTTCAATGGAAGGTATTTTTTATAAAGTTATATTAACTAAAATACTCTTATGTTACACATGGAGGAAGTCTTCACATAAATATGCTTATTACACTCGTATGTTATACAAACATAAATCTGACATATCAGTACGTAGTTCTTCTTCATTTAGAGCATACATTATAGTGTACTCTTGGATTACACTCGTATGTTATACAAACATAAATCTGACATATCAGTACGTAGTTTTCTTCATTTAGAGCATACACTATAGTGTACTCTTGGATTACACTCGTATGTTATACAAACATAAATCTGACATATCAGTATGTAGTTTTCTTCATTTAGAGCATACATTATAGTGTACTCTTGGATTACACTCGTATGTTATACAAACATAACTCTGACATATCAGTACGTAGTTTTCTTCATTTAGAGCATACATTATAGTGTACTCTTGGATTACACTCGTATGTTATACAAACATAAATCTGACATATCAGTACGTAGTTTTCTTCATTTAGAGCATACACTATAGTGTACTCTTGGATTACACTCGTATGTTATACAAACATAAATCTGACATATCAGTACGTAGTTTTCTTCATTTAGAGCATACATTATAGTGTACTCTTGGAGCATTCATGGTTCTTGATTGAAATTATCAAATATACATTAATTTTGTTTCTGAAACTTCTTGAATGAAAGCTTTTTACACACTGTAAGAAAAAATATTTTTAACACAGTTACTGTACATACAAATGAACACATTCAGGCAAGGAAAACCTAAAGTGATACCTTCGTAAGTTTACTTCGAATATTTTTTCCTGGTACTTGTAATATGTAGTTGAATGGTTGCAAGAGAATCTGAAAATGAAACAAAGATGTTAGCTATAGTAAGTCTACTTCTTTTATAAATAATATTACTTTTAATGAAATCTTTTTATCAGTACTTAAGACATCCTTATTTCTTGATGCTGAAAACTCAAATTTTCTTTTAAAAATAGCATTATAGTTTTAAGACCTGAAAACTTTACAACTTATAAATAATTGTTTCTTTTTCAAAGAAATATATATAACATTACTTAAATTATCAGACCTCTAAAACCTGTCATAACATTACCAAACTTATCAATCCAGCTCATATCAATACTTTACACAATTTAAAACTTTAACAACGAGACATTAGTGTATAAGAAAATATAAGCTTCGTATTAATAGTAATCATTCTATTTTATAACTTTCTGAAAATGTGTTTGGCATAAGCTTTACTGTGCTGGTTATGTTACAAACATGGAAAAATTGTTGCTTCAAAACTACACGAGTGTGAAATTCATATTCACTTACAACAAGTTTTATTATTGTATATATGTAATTCATATTCACCTGCAGCAAGTTTTATTATTGTGTATATGTAATTCATATTCACCTACAACAAGTTTTATTATTGTATGTATGTAATTCATATTCACCTACAACAAGTTTTATTATTGTATATATGTAATTCATATTCACCTACAACAAGTTTATCATTGTATATATGTAATTCATATTCACCTACAACAAGTTTTATTATTGTATGTATGTAATTCATATTCACCTACAACAAGTTTATCATTGTATATATATGTAATTCATTTTCACCTACAACAAGTTTTATTATTGTATATATGTAATTCATATTCACCTAAAAGTTTTATTATTGTATGTATGTAATTCATATTCACCTACAGCAAGTTTTATTATTGTATGTTGCCCACTAAACAAGTAGTTTTTTTTACATTGTTCATTCTATTGCTAGAAATACACGGTAAATTTCTAGGGAGCCATGCAAGTTCTTGAAAATTCAGAACAGTAAAGTCTAGAGCATAAACTTATTATTGTTTTTTTCAATGGTAGAAACCTAGTAGAGTTTTACTGTCAGATCTAGGAAGAATAAATAACATAATAAAGATTACAAAAAAGTTTAAACTGTTTTATATATCATAACTTCATTTAATTTGTGGCAACATTAATGTAAACCAAGTTTTTTTATCAGTTCATGTATGGGGTACTTTTAAGCCTGTGACTGATCTCCATATTGGCTGCTGATACCAATCCCACCTATAGAATTCCCCATTTTTTTGACCTGATTATTAAGATCAGATCAGTAAGTTTGTTTAACTATGAAAATATGCAATACATTCAGGCACCCTTGCAATGGAAAAAAGCACAATGTATCCTGAAATGAAGTCTGTTACGGAGAAGTGAAAAGAAATATTGATGATTGTCAATTCAAGTCATGTTCCGATATATTTTAAAAAGACAAATGTATTTTCAACATAGTTTTATTTTCCATAAAATATCGTAACATTACTCAAAAAGTGACTTTATTTCTGGTATTCATAACTATCACTAGGTTCAACTTCACTTCCTGTTTACATTGCAGAGAGGTTTATTATAAAGTTTACATCAACACGTGATTTATTTGAAGATGAGTTTTGAAGCTTGATGCATACCACCAGTATATATATATATATATATATATATACATTAGAGACATCTGGACATGTCGGCACACTAATGCATCGGCACCAATCCGATATTTCACTCAGGTCACAAGCTTAAGTACTCTAAATGTTGCACTGTAAAATCCTAATGTTAAAAACCATAAAATTCATAAACGACACATATGAAGTGCTTAGACATAATTAATAAAAATCAGAGCTGCCAATGGACATAAAGCCTTTTGCCCAAAACTAAAATAGATTTGGTAAAATTTGTTGAGGACATGTAGATTTTTAAGAAGGACAAGTAAAATTTTCTAGCATTTTTTTACCTGGGACAAGGATTTTTTTTTCAAAATTACTAGTGAATATCACAACTCTATAATTCTCATTTGTCAAATATAAAAAAAATTTATTTCATCTTAGTAGCAATGTAGGTCCTACAACTACACTGAAAAAAATAAAAATAAAGGCAGCATCAGCTTGGTGACTTTTCAGTTCCTACAGATACATGATTAATCATTGTGTATGCATACCAAAAATAGTTATATCACCTTAGTGACAATGTAGTTCCCACAGTTACACTGTGAAATACCAAATATAGTTTTATCAGCTTAGTGACAATGCAGTTCCCACAGTTACACTGTGAAATACCAAATATAGTTTTATCAGCTTAGTGACAATGCAGTTCCCACAGTTACACTGTGAAATACCAAATATAGTTTTATCAGCTTAGTGACAATGCAGTTCCTACAGATACATCACTGACAACTTGTATTTATATTTTCTCTTTTTACTTTTAATACTCACATGATTAAAAAAAAACTCCACGATGTACACATTTTGACCATACATAGATGACCTTCAATAAACTAATTCATCTCCATGATTAGCCCTATTTCAAAAATGATTATTCTACACACTGTAAAAAATGCAGCTTACATCAGTATATTAAGAACACAACTAAAATGGAAAAAAAATATTTTGTTTTTGATTCCTTCATGGAAGCTAAACCCAATAACTTTTTATTTTTATGATGTCAAGAGAGATATACAAAATGACTAAGTTAGAAAGAATAAATGGCAAATGGAAAAGAAAAACCTTATTCAAACAGATATTTTTATATCATTAATTCAAAAAGCATAATTGAAATAAATGACATCTAGAGCTTATGTCAGTATAATACAAGGTTTTCATGACTACTGAGATGGACTACAACATGTTTACCTTACATACAAAGCTTTAGGTAAAGAAAAATTAAAATTACACAATACTTTCTATAATCTTAAGTATAACAAATTTTAAAATAGATATAGGCATATTTACTATTAAACAATGATAGCAAAAACAGTTTACTGATAATTACACAACAAATTTACATTTGTAATATAACAGTAAGAATTTCATCTCACATACCTTATCTTCATTGATGGTCTGGAATTTATTCCTCATGTTATTAACAGACATTATGTAGTACCTGCAAAAATTACTTTAATATTTAAAAAAATCCATATAAAGAAATGCAGCTAATTCCTCAGCCAGTTCTTACTTAAGTCACATTCTTGTTTTGGCTGTAATTATAAGATATACACCATACAAAAATAATAACTTTATAATCACACAGTGTATTAAAAAAATATTTCTCCCCCTTTTCAGCAGATACTGATATAAAAGTCTTTTCTTCCTAACTTCTCAAATGGTTTACTTTTGATGTGGTGTGTACTTTTCTTACTAACTTATAGAATAGATTATGTGTTGGTTTTGTTGATGTAGTTTTATCTGACAGAGTGTAATGATGACATGTGGAATAGTTTACCTGTGTTGGTCTTGTTGGAAGGTCTGACTGATGATGTAGTGTGTGCCACTCTTAGTAACTGTGGAGGTTTGCCTGATGATGTGCTGAAATTGGTAACACATAGAATGGTTTCCCTGATGTAGTTAATGTTGATATTATTGACAGATGGAACAGTTCCCCGATGTAGTTAATGTTGATATTATTGACAGATGGAACAGTTCTCCGATGTAGTTAATGTTGATATTATTGATAGATGGAATAGTTCTCCAATGTAGTTAATGTTGATATTATTGATAGATGGAATAGTTCCCCAATGTAGTTAATGTTGATATTATTGACAGATGGAACAGTTCCCCAATGTAGTTAGTGTTGATATTATTGACAGACGGACCAGTTCTCCGATGTAGTTAATGTTGATATTATTGACAAGTGCAACAGTCTCTCTGCTGATGTAGTTAATGTTGATATTATTGACAGGTGCAACAGTCTCTCTGCTGATGTAGTGTATGTTGATATTGGTGACACATGGAAGTTTCCCTGATGATAATGTGCGAGTTGATATGAGGTACAGAAGACTGATTATGTGATATTATAATGATTTGAACACGTATATCAGCAAGTCATATGACAACCACAGCCAATATAAAGTGATGAGGGAATAAAATGTATAAGAATTTCATTTTTACATTGTTTAGCATAGAGCAGGTATTGTATAACCACCAAAATGGTGATAGCTTTTGAGAATGATATGTAACATCTTTCCAGCACAAAATGTTCATACTCTTTGATTAGAAAAACATATTCAGGTTATGGATTTAGAATTTACAAGATGGGGATATTCCTTTTCCTTAAAAGCATTGGAAAACAAAGGCACCAGGATGATCCAGAAAGATACCTATCAAAGTGTGGCACCTTGTAAAAGGTGAAAACCATGAATACAACAACAACAAAAAAAAGGTCACCACAATATAATATAGAAGGATCTCCATATGGAAAAATTACACAATTCATGTGCTGCTATGATATGCCTGTCCAGATATTGCACACCTCAAGCAGCTAGAGAAAGAAATGGGTACTTATGCTATTCCATAAGGAGACATACTGGTTCAGTCTTCAGATGTAGCACCTATGCATTTTTATGCAACTGGACTGTTGAAGTTGGCGCTAGGAAACTGTTTGCTATCCTTGTACAATAGATGGATTATGGAAAATCTGCAAGGAGGAGTACTGTGCTTTCAACATGACAGCTTTACACCAGATCCTTTTGCAAATGCAACTTCAATGTAGGGCTATTGTTAAGATGCATGGTTCTCAGATAGAGCATTAATGGAGATGACTACATGGTGAGACTCTAAAATCATTTTAATATTACACACTCAACATCTATAGTTTCCTTGATAATGCATAACAGTGTGTGTGTGTTTATTTTGTTGACATGTGAAATGTTTTGCTGACTGCATGATATGTGTTTTGTTAATTTGTCGAGTAACTTATCTGATAATGTGGTGTGTCACGATCTTATCTTTAGATTAGTTGTACCTGATAATGAGACATGTACTAGCTTTGTTATATTGCAAAATAGTATGCCTAATGATGTAGTGTATGTCTATTTTATCAACTTGCAGAATATTGTCTGATGATCTGGTGTGTGATAATCTTTTTTGACATGTGGAATTGTTCTAACTGAAAGTTTGGTGTGTACTGACTTTCAGCTTGTGGAATAGTTTAATAGAAAATGTGATGTGTCACAATCTTGTTATTTTCTGCTTTAGTTTACCTGATGTAGAACTGCCTAGAAAAAAGTTAGTTACTATTGTTTGAAAGATGAAGGGTGATTTCCAAGATTCAATCAGTCTACAGCGTATGAGTCAGATCAATGTAGGCT